CCATGTTTCTGTTAAAAAAATAGTATTAGATTATTGTCAGGGGTAAAGTCATTAATTAAAAGTAATATTTCTGACAAATAACTTATGTGCAATAAATCCTATTTACCGTATATGAATTAGTTGCTCACTGCAAAAACGTTCTTAAAATTAGCAAAAATTCCTTAAAATAAGTGTATTCACCTTCAATTTAAGTAGGTAAATGAGAAAGTTTGCCAATGGAACGAGTATTTTAACTCTTGGTATAAGATAATTAGATAATATGCACTAGAAATAAGACAATGCAATCGTTTTTTTCTTATTTTAAATGTAAATTGTCTTGTTCCATTGGCAAGATGTCTCTTTTACCTCCTCAATTCAAGAACAAAAACACTTATTTGAAGAAAAAATTACTAATAATTTTTTTCCAGTGCTGATATTCACTCTGAGTCAGGTTTCCCCTGATCCTTTATGACTTAATTAGGATTATATATATATTACTGTGTGTTATTTGTTTATCTTTGTTCTCTCTGTCCTGTATTAACACAGAGATTTAATAAATATCTCCTGCATGGGACCCAAGATTTTCCTGGAAGTGATTATTTCTATTAGAGATCCCACTGAAGGCAACCATATCCCCATCTTGCCTGCTTGGTTCCTTTTTCTATGTAACACTGTTTGTTGTGTAATATTGCCCAACAAACCTCTTAAGCCTTTATAGAACAGCTCAAAATATTTCAACATTAATTCACACAGATGTGCAATACCATTATACATTTGATAAATTAAAGTATCTGGTGGTAAAAGGGGAATATTTGCAGACTGTGAATACCTCTGCGAGGCGGGAACTGAAACGGGGAAGCTATTTTTATCGGTGATTATCGGAATTAGTCTCCAGTCACCTCAAAATGTTCAACCTAATATTTGTTACAGGAACTCGGTTCATTTAAAGGCTGATATCAGAAGAAATGGTGAAATATCAGCTTTAGAGGAACGGCTGGATCTGTGTTGACATGAGTGGAAAGCAAGAACACATTCACTCAGTTGCATTTGAGTGCAGATCATCTTTTCTACGTGTTTTTTGGTTCACGTTGGTAAAGAGGAAGCAATAGCTGTTGGGTTATTTCTGCAGCGGTAATATGCCAAAGGTTAAGGTTCTAGTTCCCTACTCATATTGTGTTACTAAAAGGGCTGTGTGAACCATTTCTGCCTGATCTTTGAAACCAATTAAGTTAATAAATTGATTCTATGCGAGACAAAAAAAGGACCAACATCTCAAACATTTTATTGAATCTATTTTCATTTGAACACATCTGTTAAATATGCACATATTGACAGCAAAAAAAAAAAAGTCTGATTTAAAAGTGCATCCATATTTAGCCAAACTTTTAGCCCCACTCTAATAGGTTTTAAAATGATCCAAGTAATAAGTGGTTCTGGGCTTATTTATAAAAATCTTCAGGATTTAAAAAAAAAACACCTTCTCTGAAGTAGAAGAAGATGTAGGCATCAAACATGTGACTGAAATTACCAGAGGTGGAAAGTATTACTGTATTGAGTAGGTTTTTTGTGTATTTTGTATTTTTCAAGTAGTTTTTAAAATCGGTAATTTAAATTTTACTTGATTACGTTTTGAGTGAAGTATTTCGTTACATTACAAATCCCATCCGTTGCTGAGTAAAAAAAAAAAACGTTGGAAAACCGAAAGGAAGACAAAAAATGGGGCCCGGAAGCGCTACAGTGAGTAGGGTTGGGAATTGAAAAGATTTTCACGATTCCGATTCCCTTTTCGATTCTATGAAACGATTCGATTCTTTATCGATTCTTTTTTCGATTCCAATTTGGGGGAAAAAGGAGAACAAACAGTTTGATTATCAGCATCAACTTTGTTTACTTAACTATTGCACAATCTTAGAAACTCAACAAGATCAAGATGTCCACAGGAAATTTGAAACTGGAGTAACATCGTGTTTAAATGAAAAATGAATACAAGAACAAACTTACTCCTCACAGTTATCTAAATCTAATGGAGAAGGCATCCGTTTAA